TAGGTCGTTCGACGGGCAATTAAGTTCCGGATACTTGTCAACCATAGGTTGAAAAGTTGGATCAAGAATTGCCTTTATCTTAACGGGTGACAAACTAGGGCCTATGTAGCTGATGCCTTTGATAGACAGACTAGCAGCATTGTCAATCAGTCGTTTTCGGCGGACGTCTACGAGTAAATCATGATGGTTAAGTAGGTCCGTGCCAATGATGGGCATTGTAACGTCAGCGAGAAGGAAAATCCATCGAATAGGTTTGCGTAAACCTGCGTTCAGATAGACGTATTTCCTACCAAAGGTGGCGATTGGTTTTTCATTCGCAGCCTGTAAGTTGAAGGTGGGTTCCTTCTGTCGATCTGATGCTGTAGCAGGAAGGACGCTGACTTCGGCGCCTGTGTCGACTAAGTATCGAGTCTGGCTTATCACATCATGGATGTAAAGAAGGCGGCTAGTGCCACCGGCGACGGTTGCCGCTAACGCGTGCCGGCAGGATAGTTTCCCACAGACTTTGAGACATTTCCGGTTACAAAGCTTACGGGAACACTTCGCTTCTTGGCCATAGGTGTTGTGTTACCAGCACCAGTCGGGGTTTTTCAGTGAACGTGGATTGGACTTAGATCGACCACGTGAGTTCCTGCGTTGAGGAGATTCAGGACGACGGTCGGAGGAGTTAGAAGGCATCTTTGACCTAAACATCTGTTGGATGGAGCTGCATAACTTTATCATTGCAGGATCCTTACTCGAAGTCTGCTTAGTCATCGAGGATATTTCGGGAACTGACCGTTTAGTTATTTCTAGAATCCTATCTGCAGTAATAGCTAAGTCATCTATTACAACACCCTGAAGTGTCACAAGTACGGTCTGTACATACTGTGGCAGCTTGGTTAAGAAGAGTTCTCTAAACAGTCCTTCTTCGAACTGACTTTAGCCGACGATATCTTTCATTCTTGTCAGCATGCTCACGGCTGACTGATCTCCTAACTCAATGTTACGAAATAATTCGTCCAGACGTTGTCGGTCCGTGAGAACGTTTCTCCTGAGGAGGGATGCTTTGAGCAACTCGTACGAGTTACTTACCTCGGGACTCAACATCTGTGATGTAACGTACTTGCTGAATTCGCGCGGTAGGGCGTGAATAACTGCAAGTAACTGTGAACGTTGATCGGTTATCCCATGCTCACAAAAATCTGCTTCAGCTAGCTGAAACCACGTTTCAGCATTATCTGGCCAGTATGGTACGAGCTGAATGGTTTTAGGAGTTGAGCGGATACGAATGACCTTGGGACTAAGATCACTCATGACGAAAATAATGTCGAATAATATATGGTACAAAAACAAATACAAAATGGAACGACCTCACCGGGGTTATCTGCGGATTTATCGTGGATGAAGTTGGCGGTTGGGCTCACCAGTTTAATGGTTGACGGATATCTCGTTCAGCAACTTCTAATTAATTTATTCTCGCGTACCAAAGACAAAGCAAAAGCCAATAATTGATCGTCCAAACTTCGTAATATATTCTGGGACCAAAACAAGCCGTCAGACGAACGCTTAACTAGCTAGTGATCGTGCACGTGACACGACGGGGTACCAAATGGCGGGGATGCTTGACCGGAAGCCTTCAGCTAAACAAGTCAACTTAAACAGTGGTGGTCAGCATCCAATGAGTGATTGCTGTGGTCAATAATTTTGGGGAATTATTTACCGCTACATTATCATAATAAAGTTTTGTTCTATGATTCCGTTTCAATTGACACTGCGACATTTTGTTTTTCTTTTTCGTCTATCCATTCAACAACTCGAATTTACAACCTGTTTTCGCGTTGAACCGATTTATGGAGCACAGGTAAAGTAGGAAAATTGTAAAGAGATGGAGCAACACTATGTGAGAAAAGCCTTGGAAGAAGTTATTCGACTAGCTGATGAGAAAGTCACAAATACCGAAGAGGCGGTAACCAAGAAGGAAGAGGAATTAAAAGAAATATCTCATTCTTATGAAAATACACTTGATGAGTTAGGACAGTACTTTGCTTCTGTAGTGAAACAGCTGGAAAAATGGAGGTCTGCGTTTGCCCAGGTATGTAAAAATCTTCCGAGATTAACAAATCTAAAGGATATTCAAAAAAACATGTCCGAACTGAATACTAAATTCAGGACATATGCAATAAGAATTCAGTCTGGAAAAGAAAAACTGAAGGAGCTAAGAGAACAGTCAGCGCAAGTCCTGAATCTTGGACATGCCTCTAACTCCGATCTGGTTTATCAAGTTCACAGTTGCATATTCTCCATTAATCAAGATTTGGAAAATCTTTCAGAATTTGTGGGTAACTGTTTACCGTTGAAATTTGTCGGGAAACTAAATTTCGAACAAGTACCAAAATCAGAGATTGGTACACTTGAGAGGCTATCTGATATATATGCTGCTGAAATTTTACCAAGCAAACTGCCAAAAATTAAACTCGGTCAGTTGTTTCACATAGACTTCAAAATTTCAAGCAAGTACTGTGAGGCTGCTCGCAAATTCATTGACTACTCAGTTACCAAAGACGAAGAGAATTTTCAAAAAGTATGTGCTTATCTTCAGGACAATAAGGACGGTACTTACAGCCTCAGTTTTCCTATCACGCTTATAACTCCACATACAGTGAATGTAATGTACTTAGGTGAACATATTAAAAACAGTCCTTACACCATTGTATTCAAAGTCGGCCCTAATCAGATGTTATCTGGTCCTGTTCAGAGTAATCCTTCAGGTGGAAGTTTCCCTAACAAGGAGATGATCAATGAATCACAAATTAACTCATGTAAAGGGGTAGGACGAGCTATGGGAGATGATACTGATGCATTTAGGCGAACTAAATGGCCAAATCACCTTGAAAACAGTCAACAAAATAACAACTGGTCTACACTTAAATATGAAAATAATGAACAACTTAAACAAGAATAAATGTATATATATATATGAGTATGAGGAATAGGTGGAGTTCGTTTAATTCAGTAATATATATGGAATTAAGACTTTTAATTGTAAATTAAAAGCGTATATTTTCCTATTGAACTCATCAGTGATACAATAAAATCATTCCCATATATTTGCTTATGATTCGCATGGCAGCAGACTGTGTTCCACAGTAACTATAAATGCATGAAGATTAGTTGTTCGGCAAGTCGATATTAGACTTCGCGACGTCCAGATTGACATTTTGATAAAGCATATAAATCCATATATGTAGCTCTAAGAGACACCCTATGACTTTCTGAGCTAGTGCTACATTTTGATCTGACCGCCTCTAACGTTTTTAAAGCCTAACTCTACTTAAGTTAAAATTCCTCAATGACTTGTCATCTATAAAGCCTTTCTCAGCACAACCCGGCCGATTGATTGTCGTAATTACCTGATATTCTGCCTCTAACACATTTTTACTTACCATGTTGTGGAATCTATCATGAGTGATTGACAAAAGATACCTATTGCCAAATCCTTATGTTTCCTTGCTTCAATGTTCATGTCTGATATTTGCCTTTACAAGCCATTCCACGTCTGTAAGCATTCAAGCATAGTACATGACTAGCATACCATACATCTTCGAGATACTTAAAAGGTCAGAATAACAACAATTGTCAAACCCTTTGATTCAAAAAGCACACATTGTATGCTTTTATTCTCAAACCTGGAGAGGGATGGAGACTTGATCACTGCACACCCATCAGGCTTGGTACATGCCTGGTTTAATAGATTTTACATCGCATCGAGAAGCTTTTAGTTTGCGTTCGAACTTATATTCTAAGCCAGTCAAGGTGAAGCGACAACATGATTATTTCAGTAAGACATGTGCTCTTTCTAATTAATTGGAATGATGTGAGGTTTACCACTCTAGCGGGCTCTCTTATACACTGCATCTAGTGCGGGATTTATCAACGCCATTTTCAAACACTTCCAAAGTCAAAACATGAGTTTCCGTTGTAAACTCAAGAAAGCATTTGTGATCTCATTTGGCATTAAGTAGTTAATGCCCATTTTCAAAGTGTTCTGCCCAACATTCCATAAATCCCTTAAATTTCCATCCTCCTACAAGGTAATTCTACTTACGATTTATCTTTTGAACGAGCATCTACAGTTGGTGGGTGTTAGCCGAAATCGATAATTTTTCAACTTCTTTTCTTATCCAGTAATAATAAAAAAGGCCGTAACGAAATACTACAAACTGTCGATCTCGCCTCAGTTTCTACTCATTCCGATGTTATATACTAAACAATTCACAAATATAGGTTAACTTGAGTAACTTAAACAGCTTAACAGTCGATCATACATTATTCTGAATTTGTTTATACAACTGATGCAAATGTCATCTCTGTATGAAACATGACGTGTAATATGCTGACTTTTAACATGACAATAACTTTGTGTCGTAATACCTTTTAATTCAAAAACTACATAAAGTGTCGACAACAGAATGTTCAAGTAAATACTTGTCATTATGTGAAAAGACACCCACACACAACTAGACTACTCAGATATACTACAGAAACTCTAAGAAACCTGGAAGCTGTTTAGCACTTCTATTATTACATTACATCTAGCATGAAAGATCAAGAAATTTATAACAAGTACTAATTAAAAAATAAGCACAAGAAGAAACCAATTAAGGTATATCGATGCTGAAATCATAAAAAAGAGTGATAATCTGAGAAACATTGTAAGTTCATATGAAAAAGATAACAGAAAATAAAGCAAGAGAAAAACAAAATCTATCATATCAAGTAGAAAAATGTTCTGTATCAATTGAAGTATGAAAAATAATAGCAAAAAATCAGTACAATGAAATCTTGTATTGCACTTTTTCAGTTTTCGAATGCTGAGCACTGTGTACTTGAATCAAAATCACCAAATGAGAATGTTCTGATTGAATTTGAATAATTTGATGACACAGAATAGTTCTCATTGTATTCGGTATCCCCTTTGAATCCAGAATCTGTCTGGCTGCAGTCTGATTCATGATTAGCTATATTTTCTGAACTGAGACCAGATTTAAGCTGGTGACAGAACTGAAAGTAATTAAAAAACCAAGCGTTTTTATTACGGGAGAATGATGACAATAGTTTGGATTATGATCATTTAGAACGATATATATATATATATATATATATATATATATATATATATAGCCTAAAGAGACATAATGCTAAAGTTTGAACAGGACTACCTTACGTTGCATGGTAGGATGAGGATATAAAAGTCTTTGAGGTACATAACACTGGGGAATTTAAGGTAAACTGAAGCTCACAGCGGTACACTTTTTAAAAAGTAACTATTAAAGTGAGAATTGTTTCCCACAGGATGATAAAAGCTTACTACCGGTACAAGGATAACAAGTACACCCGAAATTCCAAGGACTTTACGCTAAAATCTCTGTGTGCCAATAACTAACAACTGATATGAGGAAGTGAAAGTCAGAGCTTAACTTTAAAAATATTTTTAATGATGGTTGTAACACCATGATCTTAAAAAATAACACATTACGATAGCTAATAAACGTCATCTACCCAGAAACATACATCTAAAATAACTAAGCGTTTTTACATGCATTTTTGATTGGCGTTAAAATCTTAAAAAGTGCAAAAATCAATAAATGAAAATGATACTTGAATTGCTGAGCAAGCAGTATGTTTTACAATGTGAACAACAAGTCAACTAAGCGTTTTGAAAAACACATAAAATTTCTAAATTAAAGTAACACTAGCATGCATGGAATCATATTCGAAAATAAGTGTATTAAGGTGTAGAGAATGTTTCATTTAATAAAAGGAGTCATCAGATAAAAACCAAACAAAAAAATTCAGGGGAGTATTTCGAAGATCTCAATATATTCCGCTATAATTCCTAAAGTTCTTGCGTCATAAAACGTCAATGCTTTGACTTGATATCATTTGACTTTACACTTGAGACTGAATCCGACGGAATGTTCCACTTCCTCGACGTCCATCTGATAAGAAACGCCGACAACTCTCTGAAAAGGTCCATATACAAAAAGCCTACATGGAATGGACAAGTCATCAACTTTCAAAGCTTCGTGCCCCTGAGCAGAAAGAGGAACCTTATACACGCTCTTTCCTCGAGGATTCGGAAGATATGCAGCGAGGAAGTGGTTGAAGAAGAACTGCGTAATCTTCGAAAAACCCTGATGGAAAACGGTTTCCCGTCCAGGTTCATAGACAAGAATCTCAAACCTAAGAAGACTTCCGAACAAGTCCAATCCGTTCCAAAGAAAATACTTCTGCTTAATCTAGAATTCAAAGGCGATATTGAAGCAGAAATCCTTCGCAAACGCCTCTCAAAATCGCTTAGGAAAACATACTTCGCCGCAAGCCCACGACTGACGTTTTCCTGCGAGAAACTATTCGGCCAGAACGCGAAAGACAAGCTGTCGCATTGGGCCACCTCAACGTGCATATACCAGGTTACTTGCTCTTGTGGAGCTGAGTACGTTGGCCGTACCATACGCCGACTTGAAAAATGCGCTCGTGAACACTACCCAGCCTGGTTAGTAAAAGGAGACCAAAAGCGTGTATACAGTTCAGTGACAGAACATCTGGTTAATTCAGGACATTCAGCGCCACTCGAAAAATCCTTCAAAGTAATATACAAGATTCAACCAAACCTATCAAAGGGAGTGAAATCAAGACATATAAGCATAGCCAAGGCGCTAGCTATCCAAGAGCTCAAACCCAAGCTTTGTATCCAAAAGAAATATGTCTAACCCCTGTCCCTGCCACGGCCATCATAAACAGGTAATTTTTCAGTAATGACCATCCTATCGCTTTTCTTATCTAAACTTCCTGTTTATTCATATTATTTTAAGTTTTAATCCCTGTTTACACTACCACATTTTCATACCCGAACTTCGTGTTTATTTTGTCATTTTACTATTTCTACATATTTAATCCCTGATTGCATAAACAATTATTCATCACAGTTTTTTATCCAAACATCCTGTCTATTTTGTTATCTCTACATTTCTAACCCCTAATTGCACAATGTCAATCTCCTTAGTTATTATGATGCTACTTTGTTTGAGTTTTATCCATCCCCCTGTTTATTATGGCATTCTAATTCCCAATTTTAATTTTTGTTAATTTGATCCTTAACCGGAAATTATTCTGGAACTTTCCCATCCATTTGATATAAATACACAAATGTACAGTCTAGATGATAACTTCGTCGAAAAGAAAATTTTCTTCGCTGCAATTGTGTTCTTGAAATAAAACATCAAGAAATCATAAGGAATATGAACACCCTGAAACAAGCAGAAATAATTTGAGAAAATAAGTAGATAAACTGTGGAGAGTACACTAGTTGGAAGGTTTAGTTGATAAAGACTGTTGTATTCAAGAATTTCGATATTATAAACAGTGAATACTACCTTGACCGGTTACTGGGTAGTAACCAAACTCATGCATCTTGTCCTTGGGTCGGCGCCCACTGAATTCTATGAGTCAAGTGTGCAATGTGGTCGCCATATTAGATGACCTGAAATCTCAGTGCACACTGAATTGATGTTAGGTGATTGGATGAAAACGGCACTCCTACAGGAGGCCAATCGCTAGCCCGAGTAGCTCAGTGGTAACGTCTCTGACTGTAACACTGGGTTTAGCGTGTTCGAATCTCACAAGGGATATCAGTTTCTTTGAGATTGCAGGTACGCTTTGCTGACAAGTGTCAACAAGCACAGAATCTAAGGTCAGAGGTTCCTGCCAACTGTCTCCAATACTCTAAAATCAATTCAGTGAATATGTCTGTACCACTGTAAGTGAATTTGAGCTAAGTGACGGAAGCTCTCTAATTATTCGTTGCTAACACTCAAAGGAAGTCAGTCTGGTCTTCTACACCGTTTCATTTCAGTTTAGTAACTTCAAGGCTCAATCGAAACTAATTCAAGTCCAGGAAATATTGCATGCTGTGAAAGGTGATACTTTGGTATGTATCACTTTCAACATATACCATATACTGGTACGAGTTGTTATGGTTCCAGTAGAAGTCAGTATAAAAAGGGGTCCCTATATATGAAAATAATTTAAACGAAATCCAAAAGTCTTACAAAATGAAAGGAAGGTCAAAAGAAACATAATATAATAATGGTAACCGTAATAATGAAGGTATGAATTTATCTAGCCTACTGCAATTGATTCCAAATCATATCGCATCAATTAATTTATGCATTCTACTTAAGATTCTATGTCTCACTTCTATATTACATATAAGGCGATTTCACTAAACAAAAATCACAATACAACAACAATAGTGATAAAACATTCGGAAACACAGCACAACTTATTCGTCGGTGTGCAACTAGTGACCACACCTATAACACAAGTATTTCGCTTGGGTACAACATATCTTTTGTATGTATGCCGAAATTTCCTCAACAAGAAGTCTACCAGGGTCCATATTCCTTACTAGATAAGAGAAATGACTAAAGAATGCGAATGGTTTCTTAATTAGCAGTAATATTTATCTGGACACTTTTTTTATAACCAGACAACTTTTAAAGAATGAAATAAACAATATTTGGACAACCAGACAGTACCACATGATAACCTTAGTTTTAAATGACCTTTGTGTTCAAACGCACTGTGCCTTGATTGGTTGAAGGATTTCACTATTAACTGACATCAGTTAGAGAGCCATTGGAAAACCTGGGAGTACCGCACAAATGTTTCGTCCTAGTTTGGGACTCTTCAACAGTACGCACCCACCACTAGAGTTCGAACCCAGGACCTTCCGGTTACAAGGCGAGCTCGCAGACCACCATTGGGACCCAATCCAATGACACACGAATTCTAACTTCCGCCAATTCATGTCTTACCAAAAATCCCCTTCCAAGTGGAATGAAAGAATATAAGTATAAAACTTGGGCACTGTGGTAGAGTATAATTCCATTATAGATAAGATTTTTATTTTGATAAATCGCACAGTGTTTACAGTTATATGAACTGTAAACACTGTGCGATTTATCAAAATAAAAATCTTATCTATAATGGAATGAAAGAAGCCTATTGATAAAGCTATGATCAGAAACCCAAATTCTTACGAATATCTCATCTACGAGAAAGTCTTTCGAAAATACGGTAATCAGCCTGCACAAATTCGTCAAGGTAACAGTAGTAAGCCAGTAGTCCGTTTGTGAATTATCAGCCTGGCTATGATTTAAAAAGATGACCACTGAAAGTGAATAGCATGAAGTTGAAAGTGTTAAAATAACGTTTTTTTGAACTACTGTTTGAAAGGGATGTCATCCAAGATGAAATGGTTGGAAATTTTGAAAAATAAGATGATTCTACCTTTTTCTGCTATCCCGAAATCCTGAATATTGAATTGCTATACATCTCTAATTATAATAATGCATTAAAGGTAAAGTGTTTTCACATACTTACTGATGTGTTTTCCAGCTAGGACGCTTCCACACACAACTCTATAGTACTGTCACTGTCCTTCTGTGTACACCACAGTTATCTGACATTTGGAGAGGTGAAAAAACCGATACAAGCATATTACCTCATCAAGTAACTTATGTTCTCCAGATTAAATCATATACATAATATCAATGTTTCTCATCTAAGAATAGAGCTATAAGCGATAACCAGTAAGTAGTAAGATATTTGTAGCGTTCTGCATTATCAACATTTAAGGTTTAAATTGCTTGTTTTGACCTAGTAAACTTGTGCAGTACAAGATAAGATCAGTTTTTTCTATTTTGAAAATCGTAAAGATTAAACAGTAGAAGAATGCAACATATTAGTATACTTCCAGAGTGTAAAAAGTAGAAAGAATTACACTAAACAGGACGTCATACAACGTTATACCATAATTTAAAAGAATTCATCGTTAATTAAAAACATTCAGATTGAATTAAAGTTGGATAGGCGAACAAATGGTATTTTGGCGAGAAACAGCGTATATATATGTATATTCTTATGTTTTGTTTCACCATGACTTCCTTGCAACAATCCTCACTGGACGACTGATTCATGATAAACAAAATTTATGTTAAAATTGTAAAATAACTTGTTTCATTAAATAAATTATACGCAGCTGACGAGGACCAACGAAGTAAAATGGACCCATCAATGTTTATTTTATCTCTGTCCAAATTAAGACACTAAAATTGATTGCAAGCCCCTTGTATTCTCAATTTTAAATTCACAATGAAAAAGTACAAGGGAATGCTTGTTTGCCCCAGCTTTTTCACAGCTGTACTGATAGATAAGCACACAACCAAACCAGAGATCACCTTCGAGAGGAATTTCTTCCCAACCCGAACGAACGTCTATTCTCAATAGAACTAACTTGACATGGTAACAAAAACAGACAAACAAATCAACACACACAAATTGTCACTAACCTCTTTTGTTGAATGGGGGATGAAAGCAATTCTAAACCGCAATCTTTAGCTGTCGGCAGCTCTACAGAGCTTAATCGTAAAAGTAAATCACTCATATTATCAGTTCCCTTCTCTAAGACAGAATTTATCACAGAAAATACTGAACATAATTTTTCCGGAACTGAATGATAACGTGTGTACTGGGATGACTCAGAATTTGAATAATCTGGTGAGCACACAGTCTTGTCTTTTGAATCCTCCAGATAGAGATACGATTGCTTGAGTAAGTCTAATAAACTCGACAGATAGTAATTACTGACATCCGACTGTTTCAAAGCTTGTAAGCATCTAAAAAATATTTAAAAGAAATCACATTCAGATATACATAAAAAAGTAATTTATGCTTGAAATGTATCATGTTAAAATAATGAACAATAAACTATTGATTTAACTGCACATTAAAAAGTTTAGAAATCTCAAGACGGAAGACAAAAGAGAGGGATAATTCTCCTGTTCCATAACGACATTCAGAAAGTCTAGTAGATGAAAACCAGTCATCATCATTCAGCACTACTCATGCTGTGACTGACATAGAAACATTCAATAACAATATGAACTCCTAGCCGATAGTCATATATGAATAAAGAGATAATCAGAAAAAAACAAGAAATGAGAATAGTATCTCACAATAAAGATGTAGCATATTCAGTCACCTGATTCTGCCAAAATCACGATATTCAAGATATCAGGATAGTAGACACGTCATATTAGTTACTGGAGTCCAATTAAAGTACCCACTACAGTCCTACAGGAGGTCAATCGTGAGCCCGAATAGCTCAGCGGTAACGTCTCTGACTGCAGTACTCACCAGGTGACGCAGGTTCGAATCTCAGAAGAGACATGAGTTCCTTCAGGGTTGCAGATATGCCTTGCTGACTGAAGAGTGCCAACTAGCACAAAACCTAGGTGCAACCAAGACTTCCTGTGGCCGATTGCTTCCAACTATCTAATATCATCAAATCAATGTGTGCACCGTGATGGTGAGCTACCTAGAATGATGGCCACATTGCAAACCTGACTGACAGAATCCAGTCTGCATCAAAAAAAAGGGCTAGACAAGTCACACTAATTACTAGTGTCCAATCGAAGAATTATCCCAATTTTTCAGAAATTTTTAACCATTTCATTTTGGATGACAGTCCCTTCAAACACTACTTCCAAAATGACTACGAATCAAGGTTTCCTAGAATGGAACATTCGGTAAATATTTGAAGCATATTAGATAAGCCAATACAAGAAGGGTAGGTGAAAAATCCGCTGAGTGAAAAGAGACCCATTATGTTATTTTACATACGAAATAATGAATAGAACAATCTTTTGTATAAGTGTAGCTTTTCAAAAAGAAACTATGAACAATATGCCATCTGAAAGCATAAAATGAAACAAAAGTTTCATCCTCAGATCCTACATCCTTGTTTTACTAACTAACACTATGCGTTTTCATTTTCTAGAGAACAAAACGCAACCAATATGTATAAATGTGGACTGGAAGTAGTGAAACTCACCAATTATTGACTGAAGAAACTGCCCAGTTGATTTAAGATACACTAGGTAAAGTGTGGATTTTAATCAGTGACGAAATCGTTCAATAAATGTGATAAAATAGTCATGGCATTTTAACCCTAATTTTATGCCGATGATGTAAGATTTAAAAATTGTTCAAAAGCATACAAAAGAGAGTTGCTGATACCATCCATATATAACTTTATTATTTTTGATCTAATACTTCCATGTTGAGTGTTGAACGATTTCTCCTCTTTTTTGATTTGTAGGACTGATTGTAAAAGTTCCTTACTATGATTTTTTTTTATTCCTTTACGTTGCCAAATGGGACATAGGACCTTAGGGTAGAGCTACGAAGTTTCGGTAGCAGTGATATTTATTTCTACGGGACTGGGTTTCTAACCACATCCCTAACCTTTCCTCTTAACCAGTCTTATTATTGGCTTAGCGAGGTAGAGAAGTGCGTGAGAAATACGAATAAACTTGAATTTATTCTAATTTTCCCTAGTGAAGGTCTTCGAGACACTAAGAACCAATGGATTAAGACTGTTGCTGATATGGCGAAAAAAATAGTTCCCATTGATACAGCAGCATTCATTTTTTGTTATCTCGCGAATCCATTATATCCTTATTATTTTCCATGTGATTATACTTTCTCACGTATATTCCTCCTCTAACTCTGTGTGTACTATATGAATTGTGGCGACTTGAAATGCTGCAATTCTGTGCTGAACTCCTCGTTGAAAATCAGTGTTTCAACGAAACATCAGAATAGAATTGAACTGAATGTCAATAGTAATATTGAGGAAATATGCAACGATATCTCTTTAAAAAGCCACTACTGACTGTATTTAAAAGACAAGATTATTGTTACAAGTAATCAGAAACTAACAACAGATAAACAGAAGATAAAACAATTGTGAAGGTATTTCAGTTTATAGTTTATCAGGGAAACAGAAGACCAAATGAAGTATTAATGATATTAAAATAAATTAAATATAATGAAATGAGTAGTGAAAAAAAAGTGCTTAGAGAATAATTAGATTCTGTGTTTCTTATATGAAGACAGAATGGGCATATAAACTCGATTATATAAAACGCACTGCCAAAGCGAATGTTTGAGGATAAAATTCATATCTGCTGTCTATTTGCTATTATGTATCAAATATTTTTAGAATAAATTCCATATTAGCTTTACATATATCTTGTGCTACGTCCTCTCTTTTGTTTCCTCGTATTATTATATTATACATAGAAATGAATGTGGTGTATCCATATTTCCTTAGAGGTAACACTGGTATTTTATGAAAAATAAAGTACGATTGTAATGGCAGAAGACAATGGCAGGGCAACAGATAGTTTATTGAGAAAATCAACAGATATTTATAGATTTTTGTGTACATTATTATTCGTTATTGTTAGCAGAGAGGTAACGTCTTCTAATGGGTTGTTTTTCTGCTGCAGGTTATTCTGTCATCTCTTTGTTGCCGTTTTTTAGACAGTCCGTTGGTGTATCTGCTAATCGTATCCGCCTACGTTAAGTCTGCTGTGATTGTTTGTTGAGAGTTAGTCTTTCCTCTTGTTTTTTTTTGCCATGACCAAGATTTGATGCGCAAACACTGACGTAAATTGCTGTCTACCAATTTTAGCTAGCAGACAGCTCTCACCACACAATAATATAACCACGGAGTGAATCATGTCCAGAGAAAGAACCAGGCTACCTGAATAGGGTTGACACCCCTTTAATGTCTTCTTGAGGAGTATGCTTCCATATTTTGTTCATTACGATGTCCCTAATATTAATCATCACAATAGTATAGCTCTTGGTGATGTGAATAAATTCTCGATCGAAACTGAAGAAAGCGTCATCAAATGATAACCGATCGTCTGGTACAACTTTCTAAAGTGTAGTATTTTGTCAATCCCTTAGAGGACTTTCATAATAAAAGCATATAGAGTTGGAATATTTCAAGATTTATACGATAAGCCACAAATAAAGGGTAAATTTCTTCATTCTCATTCTGTTTTACAAGTATTCAACTTGCTGTTGTATATTTATATGACAAGTTATATAAACGAAAAGTATATAATACAGAAGAATAAACTATTGTTTTACATAATCTTTTCATTGTGACTTTTGATACTTTCTGCTGTTGTTATATGAGTTGTTTGGACAAGCACGTCAATTTCACCTGTATCAGGAAAACTATTTAGCACTAGATATCATTCGATTGAGTTCCAAGTTCTTTCTAGCTACCTTCACGGTCGCCCATTAGATTTAATTTCTTTCATACACGATCTCCTTCATATCACCCCTGCCATACACCAAACAAGTCGTCTTCCATTTGGGTTCGACCCGATGGCCAGAGTACGTCTAATTCATCTCCATCCCCTTCTACATATTTGTTAGGCAAAAAGGTTGTTGACTGGTTCGTCTTAAGATCGCCCTTGTTGAGCATCTAATTCTGGCTGACCATCTGATCTTTAGTATCAAGCTGTTGATAAAAATGTAAAGCCTGCTGGAGGTGCTCTTTGTGACGTGCCAAGTTTCTGAATCATATAGAAACACTGACTTGACATTAGCGTTGAAGATCAGGATCTTGTTCCATATACTGACGTGCAGTAGATTTCCACACAGATTTCAGAGTGATGAAGCTTTGTTTTGCTTTTCCCATCCTGCCTATGACTGAAACGATGCTGATTAAAGACAACAACAACAAAAAAATACAAGATGGCTACTTCCCTCATCAAATACAAGTGAACGTTTCCGCTGAAATCATATTCATAACGCATTTCTCAGCTTCCCCCATATAACGAATTACTAGTTGACAGGATTAGTAAAGTAAAAGTTAGATAAACAAGTCAATCAATCACAACTGAAAATATTTTATGGATGTAAACATTTTTTCTCATCCTTAGTGTTAAAACTACAGTGATAAACAAATCAACGAAATATCTGAAACTATGTCAGACCACTGTTTGACAAAAAAAGAGATGAATAGTTGTGAAAAATGACGTAAATTAAAGTTGTTTTCTAACATGTGACTAATGATGAATGAACTAATGTAACACATTCTACTAGAACTATAAACATTTATAACAAACAGTATTTCATAATACTCTGATTATTCCAATTAATCCATTGTCTGAAATTATTTATTATTATTATTTAATTAAAATGTCTAGTAAGCAGCAAATACTATTTCAGTACATTACAAGTTAATCAAAGCCGCGAATTACTTACCGGTTGTGAATTTAAATGTGATTTAGACTCAGAGTTATGAAACGGTAAAAATCAATTTTTTTTATAAACTAGAAATTACCAATATGGTCTCAATCAATGTAACGTCAAAAACCCATCGACTGGCTTTCCCCCCTGACACTTTACACTTAACCTCTCTCACTATTACCAACTATATTTATACCCAATTAAGTGTGTGCTAGTCAACACGCCCAACCACTTCAATACTTCAAATACTTAAACTAGCTGTCTGTGCAAACCAACCGAATCACATGACAAACATTCTAAGATTACTTACTGCTCAAAAGGGGTTCAGAAGACTCTGTATTTTGTGAGTGTCAGGATAATATCATCCACAAACACTAAGGCAATAAAACTGTTTTCTGGTAACAAATCCTTTCCTATAGTCGATTAAGTGTGAACTTATGACATTATGACATCTACGATGAGACTAAACAAAAATGAACAAATTAAGAATCTCTGACGGATATTATTGATTTCCATCATTTCAAGTGACAACTCCTCTTCATGAAGTCTTACGAAACTGCGTGAGTTTGAGTAGAATGCCTTGATTATTGCGGCATAATTTCTTGCCAATGACAGTTGTCAGTCGACGGAGTCAAATTATATCTTCAGGTCAGGATATATGCCAGGTGTTGGACGCCAGTAAGTACAACTGTTTTCGAGAATCTGTCGAAGGAGAAGATATGATCAGTATGCTCTTTTTTTGAACTAAAGCCTACCTGGTTTTCACAGATTTATTTCTCCCGAGCACTACTTGGTTTACACAGGGTTATTAATCCTGAATTTCAGATATTATATTAATCAGACTGATGCCCTAAGATTATCACAGTAAGATATGTCCCACTTTTTATATACTGGAACAACCAATGTTTTGCACCAGTCGTCTACTTGAACTACCTCAGATGCCCGCACATTAACTAATATTTTATTGACCCAGTAGACAGTTCATTAACATCATTCTTAATCACTTCAAGTCCGGTTGCTTGGTCTTGTTTTGAATTGGAGACAACTTTAGCAATCCGACTTGCAGTCGGAGGACTGGAATCTACACTCCATTCACGTAGGTGTTGGATGCTAGAACTTATTTTGTCTCTAGGTCAGTTTAATTGCCTCACAAAGTAAACAAGTATACTACTCAATAGTAATCAATAAGAAAAGTGAAACTAAGGCCTCATTAAGTGCTATGTTATTGCTAAGTTGGTAAATTGATGAGTCATTGAACTAAATCATGTCGGGGTCAAGATATGCAATTACCAGTCATCATGATCTATACAAATTGAAAGCACCCCTGAATGATTACATTCCCGCTTATAAGAGTCTGATTGTTTGTATAGATCAGATATCAAATCATCAACACATTAAGATTCAATCTCCAAAATAGGAATAACCTCGATTTTGTGCACATTGGCACTCATCAGAAAGGCGTATCTCCAATTTTGTAGAAACCCACTTTTCCTATAAGATTCAAACCAATCAGTGATTTAAATAGCTTGAAGCTAACTCCCCTGGGTTTAGTGCCCAGTAGTGCAAATTCGAATTAAGAAGAAAATGAGTTTTCAACAAGATTGCCGATACGCCCTCTCGCAGAGTGCTAACAAATTGGCAGTCTTCAAGTGTTGGTTTGTAGGGATTTGATTGGTTTCAGGATTTTATCATGAGCTGACATTAGTTAGAAAACCATTGGAAAACCTCGGAGTACTGGACAGCTGTTTCGTCCTAGTTTGGGACTATTCAGCAGTACCCACCCACCAGGATTCGAACCCGGGACCTTCCGGTTACAAGGCGAGCTCGTATACCATTAAGCAGTCTATAGAAAGGGTTCTCTCTACTGACTAATTCCTAGCGCCTAAGATCGAACTGCAGTGCATCGACACTGTTATGCCAGTTTAGTTAGTTTATTAACCATATGGTACAGATAAATGTTTTTTATAAATAAGATAAAAAGATTGACAGTAATCAGGGTGGAACATAGTTAGTTAAATGATTGTTATTCATGTGAAATACTAAAATCAGGATTTGACTTGAGATCTATACTAAGATAAACAAGATAATCATTAAGAAGTGAAGAACACGGAAGTGAAATGATTACCCAGTGGAATAGCTTACTTGGAAACGACACATATAAGGACTTTGACTTGTAAACTTAAAGGAAATCGAACCAAATTAAAACCAAATGAGCAAACAGACGATCCATAACTAAAAACACGACTTTGAATGCATCTTAAATACGACGGTGGAGGATTTGTGCCTTTTTTGATTACCAAGCGTAATGATGCTGGAAATGACGTATTGATAGCTTCGCATAGACTATCTTGACATGCACGACAATTAGCAACATTTAATCCAATACCGGAATTAGGAATTACTTTTCTGGGAGTAGAGGATCTAGTCGATTTCGGTACATTTGTATTAGAGCTTGGATCGGTGAAATATTTTCGATAACGATCTGATTCTTCATTTACTTTACGGTATAAAAGGGTATCAAAACTAGGCAAACGACGAATACGCGTTGCATTGTTACGTTGTTTTGATCGTGAAATGTTTGAGAATTCTCTGGGCGTTTGATGTATACGGCAGGCGATGAAACCTAGTGAAAAGATACGTTCAGATTTCAAACAGCTGAATTAAATCTGTTAGTCGTGATCAATTTCTATCAATGTGATATTAAAAGAGCAGTTTTTAAAAAAAACTCACGACACTAATGAACCAGAGAGAGATAATCGGAGGAATGTTACATGTTGGACAAATTTTGACCAGAATACAACCTGTATAACAACAGTAGTACATTTCAATATTTTGCTCATACGAAACGATACAAACAAATGATCTTTTAATAATTACTCAACAAAACTACCTTACCACACTGATTACGTACCAGATCAAATAATTATAACATTACACTAACCAGGAAGTGTTTCAACACAGAGATACCTACCCCTATGACAACTTATAATCGAATGACAATTAGAGACATTCTTCTTCTCAAGGATACCTGAAACAGAAAAAGTACTAATGCTACTTGAGTGCGGAGCCCATGGGGAAAATGCCTGAGGCCAGTCACACACAGCCTGTTTGATTCGGTTTTTGAAGTTACGTTTGTATTTAGATCTTACCGCCGAATGGGAGATTTAGATGCACAATTTTCGGGGTTGACCTCCACTCCAGAGCAAAGAGGCAGCATAGATGGCGTGCTAGTCATTTGAGGGAAACATCTAACTGCTGTTACATTCCTATCTGACAGCAGTACAACGTCACCCACATACCTCCAACATAGTGTATACAACTTACATTATGATGGTGACTGCTTTTAGTCTAGTCAAGATCCAAATAACCTTTCCTGTATGGTAGGATCTACAGGAACATTAGTTCCAGCTAGTGTAGCTCGTTGAATCATTGCAATATGCAAACCCAACCACCACCTCAAAGTAACAGCCATCGGTCGGGAAAGACATAAGAAAAACTCAAACCACTACGAATATTAGGCAGGTGAACGAATGGACGTTTCGACGGAAAGATTTTTCTTTTACTGACAAAAGGAATCACATCAACAGTTGCTCTAATTAAATGAGTCTAACTTCTAGTTTATTCATCGACTACGTGAAAAAGAAATACTGGCTTGAGAACAACAATTTGAACTTGTCTGCGATACTTTCTTCGCTTTATTAAAAGTGTTTTCATTCATAATGTATCAATGTTACACTTTACAATAAAGAGAGTTGTTTATTTGCTTTAACATTTCACTTGTGTACATAAACTGGGACAAAATTTCTTCAGTGCAGAAATAAATGACTCGTTAGTCTTGCTGAGTATCGCCTTACATATTTCATCAATAAGAAATCGTATGGTCTTTTAATGAGTAATATAGGACGCTTTGTTTTAACTTATAGATAATGAAATATGATCAGCAGAAATTTCATATAACTGATTTAACTCTAATTCGATTATGGGTAAAATTTGTTTTGATAAAGTCTCACAATGTTATACAGTGATGTTTACTGATGACGTTTCGAGCACAATTTATTACTGCTCATAACCATATCAAGGTACTCACACAACTTCCTAACTTCATTTATATAGTTCCATTATTTTTCACTTGATTTGATTGGTAGTAGTATTTTCCATATTTCGGGTATGAGTGATGAGTCATTCCTATTGCATGTGTTGGGTGTAGACTCGAGGAACAAGGATTCAGTAATCAACCTCTCTCCCTCCACCTACCTAGATTACTTTTTAGAATTTTTAACCCTCTCCCACCCTACTGTGTGGTTGTGTGTTAATGCATGCATTGCAATTGCTGAGCTTTTTTCTAAATTACTTATCTTCTCGGGGTCAACCATTCTTACCTTGGCTATGAGCAATAAATTGTGCTCGAAACGTCATCAGTAAACATTACTGTATCACACTGTGAGACTTTATCAAAACAAATTTTACCCATAATGGAATTACACTCTACGACAGTGAACAAGTTATATTCTTATATCAATAAGTCAACTCTATACACTTCAGTAAGGCAAGAACAACAATTCTACTTTTTTCAACTTCGTTCAAACTAAAACTCATGATAGTTTATTATGTTGTGCGTCGGTGACACAGCAGCTAGGATGCTCACCGACCATGCACATGGTCCGGGGTTCGATTCCCGGCCACAGACGCACTCCCTTACCTCGCTAGGCCGGAAATAAAGCTGGTAAAGAGGGAAGGTTGGGTATAAGGCTACCGACCTCATGCTGTAGAAATAATCACCACTGCTACAGAAACTTCAAGCCTCTAGCTTGAAGCCCTATATTCCACTGGGAACGTGAAGGAATAAAAAAGAATTTATTATGTACGGAAAAACAAATAATTCGTACAGCTTAAAAATTAACCAGAATATAGTCCATTAATGAAGATTATTTAAGTTACAATGAATGCGTATAGATTAGATATGCGAATAAAAACTATTAACTGACTATAAGTGAATGCGTAGATACAATATTTGAGGTGATATAAGCTAGATACGTGTTGACGACTTTACTGTGTAGTTTTGTGTTACTCTTTAATTGTCATCTATAGGACACTTTGTTACAGATAACCTATCATATCATCGTTTCGACTGGTAAAATATTGTATATTGTAGACAAACTGTTGTGCATTAGTGTAAAGCTGTATGACAAAAGACTTAATCAGAGAGCAATCACTTTAATTGTCTTCTAAGATTATAATACTTGGATGCTGACCAGACTTTGTCTAGTCCATAAACACTTTCGTTATTATGATAACTATGTAGACTTTTCAACAATGTATAACATATTCCAACTAATTATCAAGATGCATATAGCTTATTGCTGCTAACTTGATATCTTATGTTCGATTTTAATATATATTCTCTTTTTCTTTCAGTTATATAATTTCTAGATAATTAAAAAACAATCACCCAGTCATTGAAGAGAACTTCTGAACAGAATAAAGCTGTTATAACTGAACCAATTAACTGACTTACCACGAGTAATTAAAAACCGTAAGGCATCATCATAACCTTGGGTGGCTAGATTAACCAACTGATCAGAATTCATTGGCCATACCATCCCAATCAAGCGTTTAATATTTGTTAGATTTAAGCGCATTGTAAGATTCAACAATGTAATTGAACCCAATACATCTTCATAACTTTGTGGTTGAGTGTGGCTATGCTGTGGACCACATTTTGACTCCAATGGACATATATCTGCGTCACCAGCAAATGGGCTAACTCGAATTGTCTGTTGATTGATGTTAAGCAGATTATCTGATAATCCTCCATCAACGACAAGCTGAAAAAGGAAAATAAATAGAATTCACTCAGATATTTGAAAAGTATTTCTATGAGTATATATATATATATATATATATATATATATCACAGAGATAATTTCAGAAAAGAGCCAGTTAAAAGGGCTGCAAGCTTGCATCCGAATAGATAGGTCACGTAAACCCGTCTCGAAGCAAAACCAAACATCTCAAATAAATATGAAGGCACTTACTCGTAGTTAGATGTACAGTAATTTTACTACACTTATAGCTGGCTTCAGATACATTAAAGAATATGAGCGATGGGATTAAAAAAGAGTTCAAAAGTCCGAATTTTAGAATTAAACATTAGGATCAATAATAATATATATCTCAACAAATATATAAACCTTTTCCTTCACGTTCCCAAGGGAACATAGGGCTTCAAGCTAGTGACTTGAAGTTTCTGTAGCAGTGTTTGGTTTTACAGGACGGGGTTGCTAGCCTCATGTCCAACCTTTCCTCTTTACCAGCATTATTTCTGGCTTAGCGAGGTAAAGGGGTGCGTCTGTGGCCGGGGATCGAACCCGGACCATGTGTTTGGTCGGCGAGCGTCCCAACCACTGTGCCACCGACGCACTAAACCTTGAGATAGACACGTATAAATTTTGCTACAAAGTATGAAGAACATGTGGAGTGTGTTGGTTTCACAAAATGCTCACAAATACTTACATATAAGGAGTACATAACGGGTTATTTGTGAACTTGAATTACTCATTTATATTTAGATTCAATCAACAGGAAACCATAGTCTAAGATTTTAAAAGTCATCAAGATATATTTAAGTAAAAAGAGGTAGCGTTATCAGCAAACCACAGTCTAAAATTATTTAAAGGAAAACATGAAGGTATAGAGCGTTTTCAACTTTGTTACTGACAGGATGGGAACCTACTGGATCGATTTAGTGTTTATATTGGAAACATGGTATATTTTCGTTGTATCATGGCAGGAATAGGCAGATTCCATGCCAGAAACCAAACATTGAGAAATAAACATCGCCATAGTATCAACGTGAAAAGTGTCAACCTGATATGTACACTTCTAAGAATTACTCCATCAATCTATAGCGTAAGGTTTGCTGTGCTAGTTGCTGACAAAAATTTGGCTTACTGTTTCATTCCTGTTCACCAAAGGATATTTGATTACTTATTAGAATGGTAGCGCATTCAAGAATATCCTGTTGTGTATTACTCCATGACTGTAAGAAACAGCCAATGAACTTGAATACAGATTTTCGACCGAAGGAGTGTGTTCATTGTATGAATTGTACTTGTGTAATAAACCTAGTGATTAAATGCACTTATTCTAGAGGTTGTAAGTTAATACACCTGTCTTTCAACCAACTCGTCTGGTAAAGAGGATCTTAACATACCGGTGATTCACTGACTAGTGGTATCATTTCAGTCATCTTTCCCTCCTTGAGATAGTCTAATAATTTGTCTCTCCTTCAGAGGTGCAAATTCTAGTTGCAGGTAATATCTAAACAAAATAACCCTTATAATATCTACGAAAAATGATAAACTTAAAACCTGGTTAGCTTCACGTTTATTTCCTAATACTATAAAATGAATTGTTACGATAGTGCAAACAGTGTCATTGTAGTGCTTGATACATTTTTAATATAATGTTGTGAAAATTTGAAACAAAATCTAACTATGCAGATTTGAATGGACTTATTTAAATAGACTTTTTAAACTCTCATTGTACAACTTGTGAACTAACGTCTGTTGAGCTAGCGAGAAAAATGAACTGTCAAACAAGTCACTAAGACGTCCTTAACCTACAATCTAGTGTAAGTCTTTACTGTAAACTAATAACAGGAGTCGAATGAATAACTTTAGTATAGAAGGGACTAGTTACAGTTCACATATCATTGGCTTGTTCATACATAGATCCTTAAATTTTACAAAAAAGGAGAAAGACTTCGTTAAAAAATAGTATTAACTTGTGAGATTCCTGAAGTGTCATAGTAAATAGCCTTGCCGTCAAGTGTAAAGGAATACACACAGAGAGATCATTAGTGTTTAGGCCTCAGTGGGTTCAGTTAATCCTCTTTGTCACAGCAATTTTTATTTATTTATTTAAACGCATAAAAACTTGGTACAATATGGCACCAAGAAGGATGCGCCACACAATAATGATAAAAAAACACACATCAAAAGAAAAAAAGAAAGAGAAAAATATATATACATAAGTAGAGAACGGATAAAGAACTTCATCTGGAAGAAAAACAGTCATGCTTAACAAGTTCAAACAGTATTCGTTAACCATCATCGGGAAGGAAGAAAGAAGGAAATTGCAACACGTGTAATAGCACGCGATAAGTTTCATTGATTGTTTGTTGCTTTATTCAATTCATTGTGTGAGGACTGAGATACTGCCCGGGCGCCCAAACCGAAGCAGGTGGTTTTATTAAGGGACCACCCCCCCCCCGAGCCTTTGACTTGGAGTCTAATCCGCAAGACAGCGGAGCAGAGTCAGGAGCTGCATTCCCATGGTTTCCGGTGACCCATATGGGTTCATACGCCATTTGATCCGATTGGATACTGGAGCCCATGTACCCCATGGTAACTGCTTTTAGTTTAACCGCTATCCAAACAGCCTTCCTGACATGGTAGGACCTGGAGGGACAGAGTCCCAGTCAGTTTAGCATGTTGGGTCATTACGGTATTCAAGCCCGACCACCACGACAAGGTAGCAGTTATCGGCTGGGTTTCTAGTCTCTTAGCTTAGTGATCATATTACATGTTTGATTAGCAAACCTCAACCAATCCTTAAAATTGGATAATCATATCAATCACTATCCAGTGACCTATTCATTTGCATTCATAGACACCCACGGAAGCAGTGCAAATAACAAACTTAACATATAAAATCAGAGCATACCTGTTTTTGGCTACTACTTTGTTTTCACTTATCCTTGGAAAGATGTTTTTACACAAAGAAATACACTGATTAAAGCATTTCTCTTTTCCGGAGGTTTAAAATATAAGAGAATAGAAACTGTTGGTAGTGTGTTGTTAAATCGCAAGTCTGTTATTACTTCAGCCTTTTTCCTTTAATTCTTTTTCTCCGTGACCTGAAACTTTCTGTAGCGTGATAACAAGAATGATAACTTAAATAAATGGGAGGTCACAGTTGTTGCTTACTACAGTAACAACGGAGAACGAAAGTATTTTGTGTAGTAAAACTTTATCAACTCACCTGACCTCTAAATGATAATGGAACAAATCCGCTAAATATTGGAATATATGCAGAACAAAGCAATGCCTATAAGATAATGGAGAATAATGTTCAAATAAATTTAAAGCTAACTTTGATCAACTCGTCTTTATCCTTGAATTGTCGAACGATTATATTCTTTCTTGTAGCAAAACACGTCAATGAAATAGACAGACGATTAGAACACAAAACATGAGCATCTGATGGTAATATTTTTGATAATCCTTCTCTTAAATGTTCATTTACTTTAAACCGTGGATCGAATGGACCAAGTGTATACCATTTGGCATTTTCAACAATTTTGCAAAAATACTGAACACACATATCTATGTAATATATAAATAAGAGTAATACTTTTTGTTACACCTTACTCATATCTAATTCACATATAAGACAAGCTGCAGCTATTGCACCAGCACTTGTCCCAGACACTGGTTTATTTTGATACAGTTGAGGGGCGAATTGTTTAATACAACAACAAACACCCACATGATATAATCCAAGAAAACCACAACCAGCGAAAGATAAATTATGCTTTAAGCTTGGACTATCACGATAATATCGATCTTCGATTAAATCAATTTCGGAAACAGAATTTATCCTTTCCATTGTGAGATAACTGAGCAATTTCCATTGAATTCAAAATTACCTACAATTTATTTATAAAGAGGAACAGACAAAAAATTGACATTCATTGTACTAAACAAGACAAATACTTATTAAAATTATTAATTTTTGAACACTTTCTCAGACAATTAAATTTCTAATTTAGTGAGTTTGTGAAGGGTTTAGAGACCACAAAAGAAAATTGAATTTAATCTATCCCACAATGTTTATTGTTCTTGTTTTACAAAAAAACAATTACTTCTCACTTGGCACATTCATATATAAGTAACAGCTATCTCTGCCACACGGGTAATCACAAGGCATCTTGGTCGCGCTATAAAAAATATTCGTTTACTAGACTACGAGCTACTAACATTGGGCTATTTGAGATGTGAGTTTGAACTCCAGATCTGTTGAATGAAATGTACTTGCTTTAGCCGCTGGATTACACCTACACTTATTTCGTGCAGAAAAGTATTCAGTAGTGGATACTCATCAGTTAAATCAGCAGTCTATAGGTAACATGTCGTTTGCAAAATCAAAATGAATTTAATAAGTACTGATTGCGTGAAGGCCTTCATCAAAGAATGATTAGAGATTCCAAATGATATCAGCATACTAATATAACGCTGAGTGTAAACTAGTCAGTTGCACATTCAGGAAAGTCGCAATTACATATTTAGTTATGGGAAGTGGGCCTCGTGGATAATGCTTGCTCTCATATAATATCTGGTACGGCTGATGGTGGGAAAAATCCGGTCTTGATGACGAAATGCGTTTATGGTCTTTATCAGGTAAGTCCTATTTACTGCCTTTACTCGGTAGGGGGTGTTCCCCACGTACGCAGAAAGGCGAACGCGGGCACCTGGCACTTACAAACGACCAGTAGACATGCTGGCCTACACACAGAGACGCGAAACACCGATTCCAAAGCAATGGTGTACATAGGCCTTAGAATCCGAACGGATCGAATGGCGTGTGAACCTATTTTGACCACCGGAAACAATGAGGACGCAGTTCCATTGCCTAGTGGATTACATTTCAAGTCAAAGGCTCTGGGATTGCTCCATAAGACAGCCTACTGCATTGGTCAGGGTCTTTGGGCAGTAACCCAGCCCTCGCACTAATATGAGATTTTGTGTTTTAAATTCTAATAAATTCGTTTCTTATACAAACAAACTCAAAAAAATAACCACAGGAGATTCAGTGAAACCAATGTAACTTAATCTTGATTTGATTTTTGATTACAGCTTGATTCCACACCGTATTTTTGGTACAAGTATGGAATTTTCAGCGTGGATATCGGTAGCCCGAATTTCGCAGGCCAACCATAGATATCAGGTGTGCGTCGGCGAGGGCTCGAACCCTGGACCATGTGCATGGTCGGCGAGAGTCCTAACCACGATATAAAGGATCGATGAGTAATGGCCAGAAATAAATAGCTGTTTATTTACTGATTACAAAGTAGGCTGGAGCACCGAGTTTTTTTCAATTAACCAGGCAAGCATAAACTGTAATGAAATTTTAGCTGGTTTCCCATGAAGAGAAACAATGACAGTTGTGAATAAAGGGGTGTTCAGTGTTCTAGAAGATGACTTTAACTACTCGCGTGCATGAATTTGAAAGTCTATCAATAAGTGTCAGATGCACACCACTAACTGTGCTTACTGGTCGTGTCGAAAATAACGAGTGGCTTCATACCACTCAAACATTACAAAAAGAGTTATAAATTGATTCGCAGAAGGCATGGATTCTCGGTAAACTGATTACACGTTTAAAACGTCCTCATACACATTACAGACAATCAGAAGTAGTATTTTTACCTTCAAACTCTTCAATAGGACTGTTTTTCGGAATTATCTGTGATAGAAGTATCCCGGAGAAGTATATCAACAACTAGAAAGCCCTATACAAAAGTACCTCAGATATGATGAAGGCACACAATCACATTTCACCACTGGTTCAGTACACAAATGAAATGACGGTAGATTGGGTGATTTTACCATTAATCTAACTTTGACATCAATGATATTCTATCCACAGTGACTTTGGCCTACTGCATGGAGAAAAACTATCCGATCTTGAGAATGGAAATATGGTTCCACTACGCACAATATACAGATTTCCATATAACTTAATAATTATTGTTTGTATGCATGCTGTATTTCTAGACAGTAAAAAAACAAAAAATTGCTTGCGCTCGTTGCCCCTGGTCAGACGTTAACAGTTGTTTACGTCCTTTCAAAGCTGTGAGCGCTGAAAAGTGTGGAGCATGAGATTCTTGATGACAAGCAGAGAAACAGGTGAAACTGTCTCAACTTTACCACCATAGAAAAAAAATTTTATTGATCAAAACATAGGCTTAAAAGTGTTTGAAGTGAACGATCCTGACACACCTGCGAAATCTAATCACACATATGACGATATCAGTTTACTAAATACTCGATCACTTCAGCCTAAGAAGGTTTGCATCTGGTGTCAATATTACTTACGCAATTGTGAGATACAGTACAGCACTTGGAGAATGTGAACATCTTTCAATAAGTCCAAATATCGACAGTGGCTTTGATGTATCACAAACATCATCCCAGTAGCTTCTACATCGTTTAATAAATGCTAGCTGTTAGACTGGTTGCAAGAAATTAAGAAATATTCCGACCATGATGTGGTACCGTAAGATAAATAGTAGTGTTAATTAGGCGTCTGCATCACAATATTTTGCGTGGAATCAAAGAAATGATGCAATCCAGTGGCTGGGAATCTTATCACACATATCAGAATCGAAATCCAATGAAATGCCTTAGGTTCCATGTTTCTCTTACTACAGAAGAGCAATAAGTGAACGATACTTATTGAGAAGGCCTGCATAATCATCCAGCTATTAGCTTTTTACATGAGCTTTTATGGGGGATTATTCAATAACTATGATGGAGTCACTTCGTGTTAAGTTAAATAAATTAACACCCTATCATCTCACTGATATTTAATATATTTCAAAAATATTTAACTACATTAATCACCTCCACACTGCATAAGCTGTTTCAAAACAACACAAGGATAACTTGATATAAAACGTCATCCAGTTGAAATTATTTTATGCCATACTAAATTGTTTTAAAAAGTTCAAAGTTATAGTGCATCATAGGCCACATATTTTTATTTATGTAAAATAGCTCTTCGTATGAAAGGTTGTAGTTATCGTAAACGTTAAGTTTCTTAGGAGCTATATCTGAAATGCGCTGCGTAACATTGCTAGTGATTATTGAACAATCTCAGCTAATCGCAACAATGGTTTGAATAGACGATTGGGGTGTACTGCTCTCAATTATGATGACGGTCTGGATGTTTAAGTTAGCATTAGCAGGTTCAGCACGACATTAGCATGCACACTAGTAGCAGAAATTGAGAAGATAAAGGGTGCTAAGTTGAAGCAGACAGAAATCCCCCAGCTTTGGTAAGGCCAGATTCAGTGACCTATTATATCTTCTAATGCTTCCTTGATATGAGACAAAGTTCATCTGAGACAGGTGAGACAATCAAAAATTAGCTGGGAAACGCTAAAGTGTTATGTTCCATGGGATGCGAACGCACGAGTGACCTTGAGCCAACCAATAATAAAAACAGGTGATTTTTACACGAAAAATGTTTATTTACTAAATGAATTAAACACATTAAACAGCATATCTTTCTCTGACATGACTTAAAAAACATCCGAGATATAATGAGCAGTGCCAATTTTTAAAATGTACCATATACCCATCAAGGTGACTGGAAACATGTTCGTTTTGTGGGCCGTTTATTGCCCCTATCCTGTTTTTCAATCTACCCGAGAAGTCCTCGATTGAATTACTATGGTTGCCAGTAACTGGATCGAGGAATACTTAGTAGGAAAATGTGCTGAACAAAATTGATTAAAATAAATAATACCAGCCCCAAACCTAACCATAATCCTTAGCCTAATACCTAACTTAACCCTTATCCTAACCCTGATGAGCTATTGACACATTGTCCTAACAGTACTTAAAAACGTGATCTGAGTGGAATTTGCCTCTTAGTTGGTGAATGGCATTTAAATTAGCGCAATACTAATAATTACAGGTCTCCCTATCTAACGCCCGGCATGAGTCCAGGGTCATTGGAGCGTTCGCACCCTCGGGACGTCATACTTCACCATTAGCTGCTTAGAAAGATGACACTCATAAATGAAGATCGTATAAACGTTTTTAGTTATGCAGAACTTTGGACTATGTGCCTCCCTAAATATTGTTTTAGTTAAGTATTTATGGCGTTTTCTATCTCAATAATCATTCGCCTCTTTCGTCAATCTGAAATGGTTTGAGTTCAAATAATAAGGTTAAAACTTCAGTTGAGTTATAATCCACTGAGAATCAAAAGAATTATGAAGAGATATATGAATACGTGTTAAAACTCTGAACTATTTACAAATACATTGGAAGCTGTACTTGTCTCGTTTGAAAACTTGACATTATTGATATTTTCGAGGAAAATCTATGGGCATTCCAAATCTCATAACACAGAACTAAACGTTTTTCAGAGATTATGCTGCGCATTTCTAAGCAGGTACGAAACTTTCCCCCACAACCTCCCTAGAAATACATAGCCCGAAAAGACAGAAATCAGTGAGTAATAAGCATGTCTAAAACTAAGAGAAAATGGTTATATCCCCTAAACTTGACCATACTTCACAATTTTAACCATCATTTAAACAATATTTAACCATTATCAAATTAGTGTTTTCTTGTGATTTAACTAATATCCAATTAGAATCCGACCAATGTTTTCAATTAATTAGCCACAGTTTTTTTATTTTGACCGTTATTTCCTGCTTTAAACACTATTTCACATGGATTTGCACGTTATATTACCAGTCTTACGATTTGGCTAAATGTACCCTTTTTTGGCCGACTGGAAAGTGCATGGACAACGTTCGTACTGACTGTGCACTTAGAAGGATGATGTTCATCATTATTTTATTTATTGTG